ATGAATGCAATTTCTTGTTTTACGAGATACACGGTTTCATTTACCTTCACCCAAAGAACATATTAATAGCTACGTTTTCGGGTAAGTTGTCACCATCGACTAAGCCATTATGATAATCACAAGACAGCTTAACATAATTATGGTCATCATGCCATCTTTAGATGATAACAAATATTTTGGCATTTTCAGTGGGATTAAAGGTTTCTTGATTATTAACTAAAAACAGGCGAAATTTGGAAGTAGGCTTTGTCATAAATTCCCGTTCTAGTTTTCATATTAAACACGAACAAGTAACAAATTGAAGAAATGTGCCTATAATGAAGTTACAGTAAAGATTTTAGCTTTACTGGTGTAAACTCAGTTTTGATTGTTTACGTCATGCATTAATGTTATATCACATGATTTTCTTTACTTTTTAGATCGACTGTAGTTCATATATGCCTAGGGTTCCATAGCAGGGGAGTGAAGCATTGTGCATGTATGGAACTGTCCAAAGTAACACGAATATCTATGTGGTTCTGATCACAATACATACACTGCATGGACCATGTTCATATTGTAGACATATGGACTATAACAAAAACTTTTTTAAATAAACCCATCTGAAACGCTAATTGTGAAATAAGAAAATCGGGGAAAAAATTAACTAAACGAAAACCAGATTCATCTGAACATGGTGCAACAGCTGCAGATCACACTGAAAAGATAAAAGGGACAGAACAAAGCTTTGTCCATCTTTTGTCTTCATATCACCGCAACAGTGACAAATACTGAAATTCTAAATCAATTTTTTTTTTGCATGTTACTCTTGAAATTGAAAAAAGGAAACTAGTCTGAATATGGCAATTAATAAGGAACAATAGCATTTATAATTTTCGAAAGAAAAAAATTTTGATTTATCTGATTTAGTATACCGGAAGATGGTATAGTAATGCAGAGATGAATAATATGATTTTTGCGACAGAAGCCGACAAACAGTATTAAAATCATTTGATTAATAAGATATTCATATTTTGAATGGATGAATTGATTTTTAAGTTTGTTGAAATGTTATAAGATGTAATATTTTCTTGCAGAGGAGAATTACATGGTGCACATCAGCTCCAATTCTGCCTGAAAGTCTTCGATTGGTTTAACCAGCCTTTCATGAAATTTAAAAAAATGGTGGCATAATTACCATTGCATTTTAATTTTTCTATTAACTAAAAATAATGTGTAGCTCTATGAATAAACGCAGAGCCTCTTTCTAATCATATGTCATCATCTGGTACAAACTTCTATAGAAGATTCTCCTACAGTCTACTGTGGAACAAGATGCTGGTACATCTGGTTTCATAGGTGAAGAAATTTCTTCTTCAGAGGAAAGAGATCAACTTCAGGGTATTTTTTTGCCATATTTGGTCACAAATGGTTCTTGAAGATCCTTCAGCATACCTTCCGGCCCAACGTTTCCAAGTAATTAAATGTTGACCTAAGCTATGGCCATATTTGTTGGCTTATTTGCTCCAAACTAAAAACAGCATGTCATAGCCTCAGTAAAACATTGAAGCTCGGTTGTCAGTTTTATTGGTTGAATGACTGATAACACCAACAACACTATGTACTATGTACGTATGCCTTACAATGAATATCTCTTACATTCATGTATCTGGTTTCAATTGGTTGAGCGTTTCTCTTAGTTTAAGTACATACAATAAACTCAATCATAAAAGAAAGAAAAAAAATGTCAACATCAGTGTATATATTTGTTTCATATTAAGGATATCCAGCTAGATTTGGACAAGTAGAGACAACTCAATCATTCTAATATTTCATATGTGGGTTTGATTCAGTAATGATTCCCTTTTTTTTGTTAGTTCAGATTTCTTATTTAATACAAGTTTTAAAACATAACTTTCTTCATTAGTCATTAACCATAAAGATGTATTCCCTGAAGAAAGCTTGATAAAATTTTCATATTTACAATTCAGATCATTGATGAACGGCTTTCTACAATTTTCAAGCATTTCAAACTCATTAAATATCATAAGATGACCATTTTCTGTTATGTTTCGTTCCAACAATTGGTAGGGCAATCATCAGCAGAAAGAACTTTTTCTTGTAACACACATAATTGGGATTTTCTTCATGGTGACCACGTTTCTTTACAGATTAGAACCAACGAATTTTTTTCAGGTAAAATTATATAAGATGTCATCTGCCATGTTTACACCATTTGTAGGTAGACATTTTGGACATTTCCGACACTGACAATTCTTAAAAAAGTTTAGACACCGAGTTGGCTTCTATATAAAAAATAAGGAGATGAGGAATTTTAGCCAATGAGAAAACAATTCAAGAGAGACCACAGGACTATAGCTGTAAGTCAGTTGGAATCATTGACTTCTTTCAAATTTCCATCTAAATCCAATAAATTGGCGATAGATCTTCTAATAAACTAATCTAGGTACGCATAATAACATGCATGCATTTTTTTTGTACTTCGGTAGTCTCATCAGTCTTCAATCATGGACCTTTATTTTTTTTGTTCACACATGAAAACAAGAACTGTATTTTGTCAGTGCACTAACTATACAACAGTAATAAAACTACCAAGCAAATTGACCAAAGTAATTACAATTGTTTTCTGACTGATGAGCTTTTATTAAATTAAGGCTGAAGGTTTTATATGTTTTGTGTCTCAAGAATTCAATATGAAAGCACGTATGCTCTGCAAGGATACCCAGTAATCAGATTCCACTTTACTAGCAACACCAGCTGTCTGCATCTAGCATGCAACAAGAGAAGGGCCTACGGTAACCTGGAATACATTGCCTGCTTAATAGATTATAACTGAATAATATGTTGGAATTCTTAAACTATACAATTATTATACATACCAAATATGTTACCCTATTTACAACTGAAAACCTGACAATTGAAATCTTGATCATAAAACCATTAAAATGAAAACAAAGTTAGAAGAACACAAACACACTACTAGTATGTACATTCTACAATAATATTATAGTTAATGTATTATCTAGAGTAACAGAAAAAATGACCTAATCAATAAAACTGCTTTGTTTCATGAATCATGAAATGTCAATGGACATGAATACCTTACAATTGTTCTATAGATTAAATAAATTTTACTTATCAGTTATAGTGTGAATGCTTAGATTCTATCCAAACTTCAGCGTGTTCAGAACACTGCTGCCAGGATAGTAACCCGCAAAGAGAAGTTTGAACATATAACTCCTACACTTGTGACTCTTCACTGGTTACCATTTCAATACCGATGCCAGTATAAACTGTTGATGTACGCATTCGTCGTCTTGCATGGACTAGCTCCTTCGTATCTTAGAGAACTCATACATTTTTACAAACCAGCACGATCCTTGCAATCTGAAAATGCAGCTTTAATCGAGATGCCAAAAAAACCCACAGACCCCAATTTATGGTGAGCGGAGGTTCGATGTGGCGGCCAGAACTCTGGAATAGCCTTCCAGCAAGACTTCGTAATGAACAATCACTTGAGTTTTTTAAAAAAGGACTAAAGACCGCATTTATTCAGAGTTGCTTTTGTGAATCGCTTATAGTATAGACCTGGATCAGTGATTGATTGTGTTTGACTGATATTGATTTGCTACAATAATATTTCATACTTTTTAATTTGATTTGTTGTGTTTCTGTATATTTGGATATATCTTTTTACTATGAGTCATTGTCTTTCGGTTACATATTTTATGAATACAAGGTAGGAGCTTTCAGCAATTTCGGAAGATAAGTCTATGACTATTCAAATTCGAAGTCCATTTATATTATTTAGTTTAGATAATGATTTTTGAGACTTTTACTAATTTATTGATAATTTTTTTTATCCATTTTTTATCCAATTTGGTGGAGTTTTTAGAGTCCTAAATTTTTATTTTTGATTTGATTTTGTGTGCTTTTAAATGTATTTTTTACTTTACAGTTTTGTTTATGCACGAATATGTGTATATTTTTTAACATGTAAAGCGTTTGGAGTAATTGTATTTAAAAATGCCTTGTAATAATAATAAAATAATATAGTAACTGAGAAACTGACCTTTTCACCAAAAAAATCATTGATCAATGATTCATGAGAAAAAGGTCAATGTCTGTTGAACTCATGTGAAATGGACATGACAATCAAACAATGAGTCTATAATGCAAATATAGTTGACCTTTTTCTTATTGTTAACCAGAAACTGACTAAATTACAAAAACTTGATGTTGATCAATAAACAATGAAAGGTGAGATACATACTGTCAAATGGACATGATTGATTACATTACAATTATTGATTTGAATAAATGAAGTCAATCTACAAACTTGCATAAGATCTGAAGACATCCCATAAGGGGTCATGATCAGTGGCCTTTAATCATCCAATTAAAACTTTGCCTATAAAAGATTTTTTTAACGTAGATGATCAAAAATATTTTACGGTTAACCTTGAAATACTTCCAAATATAGTCTGGAAATTCGATGTTATAACTGACTGTTATTGTTAACATTTCTCAACTTAGCAAAACAGTAAAGTCTCATTTATATGTTTCATTTTATAAATCATAAGTGGATAAAACATTTAATCATTATAAAAGCAGAATTTTGATCCAATGGCATATAAATGTTCCGTATAACTGACTAAATCAAAAACTAATATATGTAAACTATAAAGCAAAAGTTTCAAATAATCTCTATGAAAATGAGATATGCCAATGCAAGTAAAACTGCATACCAAACATCATGGACCTACCACTAATGGTTCCCCATAAAATGACCTAATCACACCTAAGTCTAATTTTTTCAACTTTGTCAAAGCAAGACAAAAATGTAAGAGATATAACAAATATAGTATTCTATGCATTTACCCTGCATTATTACCAGTACTGAAAAGCTTATTATTCTGTAGACAAAAGGAAAATAAAACAACCCAATTTCTGTGACAAATTTAACATGTTGTGAACCTTCTTTTGATAAATAACTACAGTTCTCTTTATGTTAAAAGCATTTTATTCAAGTATGGAACATGTTAAAACAGTTCAAATTCATTTTAAATCTAATTTTCAACATAATTCAGAATACAAGTCATACTGAAATGGGGTACAAGTTACATTTAACAAACATTATCCTGGTAATTTTACATGTATACAAAATATAATATGTGTTTTGGGATACAGCAAACTATCAATAATTTTTCTCAAATTCAAAACAAAGGAATTTGCCACTCTAACAGATATGTTATAATACATATCTAAATAAACTAATTATACAGCCTCAACATTGTGATCTTTACCGACAAAGGGTTACAATCTATTCAAATTGGAAATGTTTCATGATTTTTTGCTGTTGCAATAACTACTGGATTAAAGTTATGTCCTTTTATTTACCATTTTAAGACCAATGCCATCAAAGTATGTATGATACACACAATATTTGACAATTCTTTCATAATATATAAACATCTTAAACTCATCTTTTTATCAGAGTTCTCGAAAATATATTTTAACTGATGGTCCTTGAATCTGCTGGTTCTCACTATCATTTCCACATCAAAATACAAAAATTGTGTATGTCCTTTGCAAAATTTTGGCAGTCAAAATCTTAGAACCACAACTTTCTGCTTTTTATACCAAAAACTATCTTTAAATATTTAAGATTTAGTGGAGTTGCATTGCACTATTTATTCAATATTTATTGATGTTCATGGAAAACGAAAAAAAAACCCACATGCACTCATCCTTGAAGCATGTTTCAACTTCAGAAGATGAGGAAATGGTATCTTTAAACTTATTAAGACAAAATTTTCTGAGGTGGCTGCAAACAAACTTTGTACGAACTCCCCCCAAAAAATAGGTTACAACACAAAACTAGTCTCAGAGATGTTACACCAAATTCATGCTAAACGAAAGATAGCAGTAAAAAAAAGCATTTACTACCCTGTGATTGATGTACTGTACATGTGATTGAGGTTCAAAAGAAGCATTTTTTTCAAAAATCTAATATATTTCTAACTTAAAGCTATGTACATTGTATACTTTACCAGGTACTATTGATGAGTACCTTTAATGACTGTTTTTTTAATTCTGTAAGACTGGCAAATTTTTGATGGTCATATTATAAATCTGTGTTACAGAAATGGAAGACAAAAGTGAGTCACTAGAAACAAAGTATGCTTTATTATCTAAGTTTCTGAGAACAATAAATTAGTCCAGGGAATATTAACCACTAAAACATGTACAAAATTCATTTATATGAGGTCAATAACCAATCTTCTTGAATTGTTTCACTTAAATGACAACTAGAATTTACAATGTAACTGTTTTTAGTACATTTTGATCATTTTCATCTGGCAGAGCTTAAAATTTAGATTTTCATGGAAATCTGATGGATTGATGATACACCTTGAAAATAAACTTATTACATTAGCTCTGCTTAGTCAGATGAATTGATTGAAATGTAATATCAACTATTAACTTTTAAATTTTTTTTTTTATATAAATGAAGATATCATGTTTAATGCCCAGAACATCATACAAATTAAGTAATTGTAACACATTTGAACCAGAATATTGTTCAAGAGACAACAATTATCTGTAAAAAATTCAAACTCTAAGATTTATTAATAGAAATCCTCAATTATATAGCCAGCTATTCCATGTTTAATCATGTGTAATGTTTAACATCATCATCAATGCAATCAAAAAACCAAGTCAAATATCATATACTTAAGTTTGTAGCTTGTTTACAAAATATTCTCTTTGAATAAGACAATGAATGCCTCCATTGACCAAGCAAGGGATCAAAAAGTCACCAGGAACAATGTTTTTGATTGCTCGTCATATGTTTTGTTACAAGTTTAATGAATCTGATGTTTAAACATTTTTCATAATAATAAATGCATCATTCAATGTCTATCAAGAATTTTATTATTATAACACTATTTTAGTACAAGTAGCATGCTATCAAATTTCTGAGTAACACACTACAACTTTACTTCTTATACAGTACATCATGTTTTATTTTTCTTCAAAAAAGTTGTCACTATTAACGATATTCAACAGTAGCTTTTACTCATCCTGACTATGAGATTAAAGCTTTTACCATAAAAAAATTACCAGCTATAGTCTTGGTCTTCTTCAACTAACTACTTCAGGATGGATCATACTTAAATTGAACATTGCAAAATAATTATACTATAAACAACCCTTGATTGTGTTCTTTTGTTATTCTAATAATCTTATATTATTATCTGTACATTAAGTGTTAACAAAATATACAATTTGTATAAAATTCTGTCTGAAAATGAGGTTTGGTGACGTCCTTTCTTACAACATGCATCCATCTCATTCATCCAATGATGATTTAATTAATATATTGTGCCATCCATCGGAAACCTTCACCATATCCCTGACGTTTTAATACACTACACATAAACAGTTCTAAAGGCCTGCCAGGTAACTCACTTCTTGCAACTGTACCCTGAAAAGATAACCAATAAGGATATCGAAATAAATTAAATTGTCAAAACAAATATGACAAGATTTTTGCATTGTACAAGTTCTGAGATGTGAAATATATCACAAAAGTACTTTGTCAATGGATTTCTGGAATTAATTTGCATAAACTTATACAAATGTAAATATACATACATACAGATGCACAGAGATAAATCCATATTATGCCCAGTCATATAAAAATATTCGAAGATGTATAAATCTTTTTATTACTTTAAATGTATAATATAATATTTGTATTTGTACATCCGTTTTTTGTCTTGCATACACCAGTCACACACTTACTCATGTATGCCTTATTAAAGCATTTCAAAACTGTCAAGAATGATAGTGCGAGGGTCTGAATACATTGTGATCATTTTCATTCTTAAAATTTTTTGTGTTTAATAGGCATTTTTTTCCATGTTGCTCACTTACTCAATACTTCATTAAGCCCTTTACGAAATTATTAAGAATGGTAGTCTGAGGGTCTATAAACTTTTTTGTCAATTTTTGTTTGTAGTTTCAAACTTTCAAAATATTCTTTACTGAATAACTTGTATGAACATGATTAAGTAAAGTATTTAAATTTGTTCAGTCAGGCAGATTTATGAATGTTAAAAAGCAATATTTTTCAGTACTAAATCAGCATTTCTAAATACCTTTTACAATGATTGCTGGAGACTGGCTATGGTTATTCATTGCAGTTGAAGATTCAAATTTATTTATGCTACTTTATTTACAGGATGTTAGTGATGGGATGCAACTTGCAATGGAAGAGACAATATATAAAAGAACTTACCCTTCCTGTCGTCTGTCCATGGAGTCCAAACCAATGTCTTATTTCATCTTCACTAGCGGCACCAGCTTTATCAATTTTATTACCTAAAACTAAACATGGGGCATTGGCAACCTGTTCATCTGTCAGTAAACTCTGTAAGGAGATTAATAGAACTACATTTACATTAACATGACTAACCTATTCATCTACTTGAATATATGTAATAAGATTAATATTAAGAAATCGATATTAAAACTTCATGGATGTGCTTACAGACAACTTTAAAAGCAAAATGCAGAACCACGCTTTATCCTTTTTACAGAGTGAATACAATTAAGAAGTTGAGCATTTGAAGGTTTCTAAAATAAATATTTGTTTAATTTCATCCACTTTTCTGTATAAAACACAACAGTGCCATTTGACAAATGACTCATTATCGAGAAAACAGAAAGTTTCAAATAGTTTTGTTATTAAATGAGACACTTAAAAACTTGAACTGAAATTGTCGATTTTGAAGAGAAAAATAAAGTTACTGAAACATTGTGCTTCATTAGTTTCAGTATATATGCATTCCTAAAAATCCCAATACACAAATTTAATGATGGATGTGAATGACAGGAATCTTATGACCTAAGCATTAATTGCTCTACATTGTATAATTAAATATTTTGTAACTATGATGGTAAACTTACATCTAATTCAGCTTTAGCTTCCACAAATCGTTCTCTATCACAGACATCAATAAGGAATACAATACCATCTACTGCTGGGAAATAATCTTTCCATACCCTACGTGCTAAAATTAACAAAATAACAAAAATCAATTTGTTACTTTTAATTTTATTAACGATGATGTAAATAAATGAAGAATAAGCCCTGCTTGTAAATATATGACAAATTCTGCAATTTTTCAATTTACAAAGGGATATAACTCAAGAACAGCGAAAGTGACACCACTTAAATCAAACTCAATCTGTGATTGGTGGTAATAAAAATATTGTGTATAAGTTTCATAGTATTTGGTTGAGGCAAACTAAAGCTTAAGTGTGGAAATAACAAATTTAGCAATTTTTTCATTTATAAAGGGACATTATGTGTTTGGTAGTAATAAGCATTGTATATAAGTTTCATAACATTTGGTTGAGGCAAACTTAAGTTAGAGCATGGAAACCTGTTTTGGGACGCAAGGACAGACTTACGTACAGATGGACAAGGGTTAAACTAAATAACTGTTTCTTTATCATATTAAAATTTGATTATTTAATGAATATAAGAAAATGTTTGGAAAGTAACTAGACAGCATAAATTTTATGTCTTCAGTGTTTAATGACATTTTTTATTTCTTTACCTCCATTTGGCATTTTTGCAATTTAAATTCAAGATACAATGTACAAAGGTACTACATCATTACTCTGCAATATGTTTTGTAAACTTTAGCAAAAATACCTTGTTGATGACCTCCAAGGTCAAAAGTTGTAAATCTCATACCACCCATAGATAGTTCTTCAGATGCTAAAAATAAAATAACAAGAATTCATAAGTGGTAATTTGAACTAAAAACAGGGGACCCTCAATTATAATACCCATATATTACCTTATTAAATCATAAGCTATAATTCTTGTAGGGTATATCTGCTTGGCAATGGATAAACATGTACAAATTTATTACAATTTAGAGACAGAAACTAGCTGCCAAAATCAGGGTTATCAATTTCCATGTTTTCTATAGGGACTGTACTATGCCACAACCGATCCAGCTGTTGGACATCAGAGCAACTTTGGTCTATGCTGTTATGGACTTAAATTGTATTCAAATATAGATTTGGTAGTTTCATAGTCATACATGTAAACGGCTAGCGCAGCTGGATACGACCGCAGAGGTCCAACCCTGAACAGTTGGGGCTAAATGGACACTATATTCAAGCTTGATACAGGTCTGAATTTGGATTGTGCTTAAATATTTGACACATTAAAGGTTTCTGACACAGAATAAATGTAGTCAAAGAACATGAAATTGGTTATATGATTTGAATTTATATTCAATTGAAGATTTCTTGCTGTTTTGCAATACACAGTGCTGTTGTGCAATACTAAGTAAAACTGTTTTCAGACTATATACATGTACAAAGAATAAGAAAAATAAATTATGAACCCCAAATTTTTTTTTGAAAATTGATAATTTCTTAAATATTGAATAGAAAAAATTGATCCCCCAATAATTTTTTTTTACCCCCCACCCCCTCCAAAAAAAAAATATTTGAAAAAATTTTCTTTTTGTAAAATGTGGTACAATTTAAGAGACATCCATACACTTAAACAAAAGTTATTGTCTGAAACTAGAAAATTGCTTGTTTTGGCCCCTAATTCCTTAACGGTTTTGGCAATTACCCCCAAAATTAATCCAAACTTTCTACTTGTGGTACAATATCAGAGCATTCAAAATACTTATACACAAGTTATTGTCCGGAAACTAGCAAAATGCTTGTTTTGGACCCCTTTTTCCTAAACAGTTGGGACCATCACCCCCAAAAACAATCCCAACCTTCCTTTTGTGGTATTGAACCGTTTTGTCCATACACTTAAACTAAAATGTCTACGGACGACGACGACGTGATAGCATTATAAGAACGCAAATTTTTTGCGGTCATATAAAAACTGTTCAAAATTTTTGCTGACAATTCCTGTTATCCAAAATTTGTTCTTCTCCTGAATAATTGTGTATAAATGTTTATTAAGTCTTCTATCTTCTTTTGATACATTTTTTTACAGTTTTTCTGAATTTCTTGGCTGGATTTTAATGGCTCTCTTTAAACGTAAACTTGTTTTTCACCTGTCTTAAGAATCATTTTACTCACTAGGGTGTAATGTTGGAACATGCTGTGCCATTCTGTCATCTTTTAACATATGTAGTAAAGTAGTTTTTCCTGCATTATCTAAACCTAAAAATACCAACTTTCCCGACTTTTTATATAAACCTGCAAAAATAATCTCAATTTTATTCATATCACATCTTCTGTAATTTTATTCATGTACATTGTAATAACTGCAATTGTTATAAACTGCTGATCCATCTTGAACTTGTTTCCTTGGTGTGAAATTGATTCCAATACAAATTATTTTAGTACATTTTATCAAGGGTATCACTTGGTGGTTTGGGCTATCATTTTAATGTAATTTTGTGTCTTACAGCTCCTCAAGTATTCATACATGTTTTTACATCCTTGACATTCATTTTTGTTTGTTTTGATTAAGGTAAATCCAGTTAAGCTGTTTTGATGCATCTTATCTATGTTAAGTGTTATTTTTTATATTTTGTACAACATTAAGCATTTTTTCTGTTTTCTCATTTGAAAAAAATGCTCCAAAATAACTCCTAATTATGAATTTAGCATTGATACTTGCATGACTACTCTTGGTTTAAAGAAAAGATTGAAAGAAAACATGCAAGCATCCAACCCATATCAAAATAGATTCAAATTACAGCTGCAGCATTTAGCTTAGGCCTATAACATAAATTATAATAAGTGAAGAATATGATGTCCCACTTGCATATAACGTTATAAAGGGACATAACTCAAGAATGGTAAATGTGACGCATCCCAAATTCCACCTTGAACTGTGTTTTGTGGTAATAAACATTGTGTATAAGTTTGATAACATTTGATTGAGGCAAACGAAAGTTAGAGAACCAAAATGCCCCCTCCGCTGTGGTGGGAGCATTATTAGGACTGATACTTTATATCAGTGTGACAAGTTATTGTAAGATTTAAGTTTCATAAAAAGTTAAACTATTCGTTTTTGTTAGAAATGTACGAGAAAGAGATTATGAACATCAGTCGACATAAAATTCATGATACAATCCCCTTCCACCCAATCCATATTAGACCCTAGCTTGGCTAACATATGATCTAGGGTCTAGAAAAGCGACTGATATGAAAATCAAAGCACTGTAAGCGCTGCAGGCAGTTAACCAAAAACCAAGGCAAACGTAATTATGAAAACTGTGGCAGTGTTGCTTCAAATTTTTTTTTCAGATTTGAAAGAACAAACATTAAACATTCGTATATTCTACATTTATGTTTATTTGATGAATTGATTATTAAGGCAAATTAATTAATATTTTATCAAGGTTTTCTAAAGCAACGCATATATCAATGCATATTTTTAATGGTGAGTCTGCAGTGGTACAAGTTCGCAATGATTGCAGGTGTTCTAGTTGGTAGTTAACGTTGGTACCAGTTGACTTTTAGTGGTACAAGTTGACGTAATTGTATGAATGGACTTGCTTCCCTGGAAGGAACACTGAGTTTGGGTTCTACAGTACAAAAGTTATGAGACACAAATCAGACAAATGTTTACTACTACAGGGATCAAAGGTGAGGTCTGACTGCCCTGACCATAGTAAATGTAAATGACCCCCACCTTCACCCCAAGTCCGTGATATCACTCCATACCAAGTTTGGAATAAAATGACAGGTGATTATAAAAGAGGGACGAAAGATACCAGAGGGACAGTCAACCTCATAGATTGAAAACAAACTGACAACGCCATGGCCAAAAATAAAAAGACAAACAGACAAATAATAGTACAGATGACACAACATAGAAAACTGAAGACTAAGCAACACGAACCCCACCAAAAACTGGGGGTGATCTCAGGTTCTCCGGTCAAATAAAACAATTGGTCAAACATTCTTGGGCTTTACACTGCTTGAAAGATTTATACGTTTCTTTAAAATGAGCCATAAATGCAAATTTTTATAGGCCCAGAAATAATTCAAAAAATAATTAAAGTAAATTCAATTTACCTAGACTCATTTTTTGCATCAATACAATTTTATAATAAACAAGAAATAATTGTAACAGGATGCTGTTACGAAGTCTCCCAAACAAAGCTCCCATAATTTGTCATTCCCATGGTCGCCTGACATTGGGCAAAGTCCAGTACACATTGGTTTGGTCTAGTAAAGTGATATGCATATGTCACATAATGTGACGCCTAGGAGATTGACCCTGTATATCATTCAAATTATTTTGAAATGACAAACAGGAATAAATATGGTTTAGGAGTGGGGACCGTTTACAAGTTCTCAAACAGGAGGGGGTCCCCTGACCCCAGGGACTCCCCCTATATTTCATTTGATTTGTTATATTGTCCCATACATGAATATATATGGTTTAGGAGTGGGGATTTCAACCGTTTACAAGTTCTCAAACAATAGGGGGTGGGGTGACCCCAGGGACTCCCCCTATATTTCATTTGATTTGTTATATTGTCCCATACATCAATATATATGGTTTAGGGGTGGGGATCTCGACCGTTTCCAAGTTCTCAAACAAGAGGGGGTGGGGTGACCCCAGGGACTCCCCCTATATTTCATTTGATTTGTTATATTGTCCTATATATTAATATATATGGTTTAGGGGTGGGGATCTCGACCGTTTCCAAGTTCTCAAACAGGAGGGGGTGGGGTGACCCCAGGGATTCCCCCAAATTTTCATTTGATTTGTTTTATTGTCCCATACAAGTATATATATGGTTTAGGGGTGGGGATCGCGACCGTTTACAAGATAAAAGAACATTTTCAAATTGAAGGGATGACTCACCCTATATTTTATTTGATTTGTTTCATTGTCCTGTTCTCATTACTGAAGACCACGCGTGTCTATCACTTACTGTTTTCGAGTATAAATAGTCATTTGAAAATAAAATCCCATAGAGTTCTACAGTAAACCCCTCCCTTCTTTAGGCCCCTCAAAATACCCCTAAATAGTTCCCAATGCACAAACGAAAGATTGATGGCTCCGCTAGACATGTTAGTCTTACATTTTATGAAACCCTAAGTTAATCTGACAAGGGGTCCGAGTTGTTTTCTTAGACGGTCCGAGTGGCCCGGTCCGACTTGTCTCTGGGACGAGTTATTCCGCATTTCTTAAAACATCGACCTGATTGGTCGACATTGATTACGTCGATTTCCGGTTTTTCATTCATAAAATAACAACAAGTTCAGTGATAAACGGAATAATTTAATAAAAGAAAGGAATTTAAATGTGCATACATTTAATTGAAATCAATTAAATAATCACAATCGTCTTAAACTAAAAGAATATCATGATTAAGAGTACTTTCGCTTAATCGGACTTTATATCATCAGAATCAAACGAACTTACGTTTCGTGCAAGTTAAAATTACCGCCAACTTAGACTACATGTGTACTATATATAACTTTATTCCCTCTATCATAGAGATTTGGTGTACATGAACAATATTCCTGCGCAATTTGCCATTTGGGAAATATAAACGACTTGTAATTACAGATTTTCGGCGATGAAATATTTCATACAATTGTTCTTTGCCATCTTAGCCAAAAGCACAGGGGATAATAAACTACGTACGGATTTCTATTGAGCACTATTTCCTATGTGCAACTTCAAATATTATGCGTCGTTCGACGATCATTTAAGGTTATTCTGGTCATATTTTTTGTATTCCAGAATTAAAAGAATGAAAAAAATGTCCAATTAGTTATATATAACATATTAGCCTGCTAGATTACAACAATGGCACTTTTTTCAGCATTCGTTAGGAAGAACACAAATCTAGGGTGCTAGCATAAGGCAGCTTAACTGCCTAAAAATGGAGAATGTGTCCCCATGGACACAGATGATGCCCCCACATCCATACAACATTATAAAGGGACATAACTCAAGAACAATAAAAGTGACGATACCCAAATTTGTACTTGATCTTAGTTTTGTGGTAATAAGTATTGTGTATAGGTTTCAGGTTTGGTTGGGGCAAACTTGTTACAGAACGGAAACTAAAAATTTCGCAATTTTTTGATTTATAAAGGGGCATAACTCAATAATGGTTAAAGTGACACTACCCAAATTCAACTTGATCTGTGTTTTATCAGTGGAAGGCAAAATTAAACTTTGCATTGTATAAAGCATTGATTGTAGTTGATTCAACTATAATCATGGACAAAGGAAGATAACTCCAAATTACTTAAATAATGACATCGATATTTTTAGAAAAAAAATGAAAAAATTAAGCCATTTTCCATTTGTAAAGTGGCATAACTCTAGAACAGTAAAAGTGACACCACCAAAATTCAAACTTGATCTGTGTATTGTGGTAATAAGCATTGTGTATAAGTTTCATAACATTTGGTTGAGGCAAACTTAAGTTAGAGAACGGAAATGAAAAATGGTGCAATTTTTCCATTTATAAAGGGGCATAACTCTAGAACGGTTAAAATGACGCCACCAAAATTCAAACTTGATCTGTGTTTTGTGGTAATAAGCATTGTGTATAAGTTTGATAATATTTGGTTGAGGCAAACTTAATTTAGAGAACGGAAACCAATTTTTGGACGTACGGACAGACGGAAAAGGGTAAAACTTAATGCCCCCTCCGCTTTGGCGTCAGCATAAAAATGATGTTAATAATCTATAATTTATATAAGTTACATGTATATTTTGTACATGTCTAATGCCAACTTACCCAGGAAGTTTAAAATACCAGTAAACCAATCCCATAAGAACATTTTTTAATAACACCACCAGTTTTACTGAAAAATAATCACAATAATGTTATAGGCATGACAAAATACAAATAAAAATATCGTAAATTTATAAATGCCTTAAATGCCCCACCCTGATTGTTCAACAGATTTTGGACAAAGTTTTTTTCCTATTTTTTATTTCAATCCTGCTTGCTGACGATCTGGATTTTGTCAGAATAAAAAAAAAAATATTATTTCCTGCCTCTTGCATCATGTAAACAATCTACAAAACTCAGAAAATTACTTTTTAATCCTAGTCTTATTTGAAATAACAGTACCCTGTTATTCACACATGCATGATGGAACTTTTGCAATTTGTGAAACAATTCAAACCAAAAAAACCAACGGCCTGATTTATGACAAAACTAAATAATGAAATACAACCACTGAATTTCAGGCTTCTGACTTTGCAGTCACATACAGAAAGTGACAGTGGTAAACATATTTGAGATAGCTCAACCCTTCGCCTAATTTGGGTCAGTGGTGTAAAAGCACAACATAAGAACACACTGTAAAAATGCAGTTAGAAATGGCTTGACTAATTAGATTGACACAATGCACAAAAATACAATTTACATAAAGACAAAGACACAAAATAATAATCTAAAGAGCAGTAACTGAAAATGACGTCACAACTAAAATCATGAACAACAGGACCAACATAGGAAGTCTCCATTTTTCCGTTTTTTTTTCAAGATTCTAAAAGTTAAAATATGCTTGAATTCAAAAAATAATTTATACACACTTGACTTTATCATCTCACAGTTCCACCTGCCTCATATTTCATGTCTAGCAATATAAAACTTTTGTATGTTTTAATTTTTTTCAATAATAAAATCAATGTGTATTTCCAATTAAAACAATATTTAAGTAAATCCTTGCTCTTTCAACTTCTTCAGATTCCTGGTCTTCTCACCCAACACTTACCTTTTTCTTTAATACTTTTATGCAAGGCAATAAATTGTTAAAGGTTGCCAGTGTTCCAGCTTGAATCTCAGGGCAGAAGGGTGCTAGTTGTCTGAAAGGGCACTTTAGCGTTATAACCCAGATTTTAAGGGCAATGTTGGACAGTGTATATAAATTACCTTGAATATCATGAATATTGCTAGGCTCAGCTGGAGAACATTAGTTGTATTTAAACCATATTCAGAAATTAATGTGTTCTTGATGTTGGTTCCAGAAAGAATTTTTTTTTATTAAATTATCATACCATGAAGCAAAGCATATCATTTTGATGTTAATCTAAACAAACTTGTACATTTGGTAAGGAAAATAATCATCAGAAATTTCAATGTTTTATAACTTATACCAAAATAAACAAGTAGTTTTGAAAGATGGAAATATACAAAATTGAATGTTTAATGTAAATTTAAATTACTTGTTCAAACATATAGTATATATATGTTATTGAGAGTTATTTATTATCATTTGAATTGTTACAAAAAAGTATTTTTAAGTGCACACCAAAGTGCTCCTCAGTAAAGAGTTTTATAAATATAACAGGTGGGACAGGAGATGATCATATTATATTGATGCAATAATATATTGCAGAAGGTATAAACAGTTACTTTTTTCTCCATCATTGTTAAAAATAAATTTGTTGAGTGCTCCTATGTAAGGAGGATTATAAAATACAAGAAGCAAAACAGGAAGTGAATCTTATTATGTTCAAAGTACAAATTTCTTTGATTCTTCTTTAAATTTCATACTCGTGGTTATGAAACAAAACATTTTTTACCATTTAAGTCAAAACTATGTATGCCTTTGAAATTGTTTTAAGATTTTATTTTTTATGTTATGCCTACTGAAATAAATTTTTTCAGGTGTACATACTGTACATAAACCATACAAATGAATAACATGTGGACATTTCATTCTGTATTAAATATCTAGTATTTGTTCAATTATCTTAAATCCACTAATTAGCAGTAAACAATCATTAACAAAGGTGATAAAACTGCCAAAGCATTAGGTATTTAACTTAATCTCATTGTCAGTTAATTAGTGTTACACAATCAAGTTACAATTTTACCGGAATTGCCGGTAGGCATGAAATTGGAAATTTTATTTTTTTGAAAAGGCAGAGGGGGGCATTCTTTTACTTTGGAGGGCAGAAGGGCGGGGGTAAGGGCACCAAGGGCGGGCCGCCCTTCTATTTAGGGCAGGCGGGAACACTGGTTGCCCCTCAGACAAAGGGTTGCAGGGTTTAAGCTAGGATTTTGAGGGCTTTAGTCATTTTTGCGCGGGATGAAAATCAACCTTACTTTGGGTAGCAGCAAGGGACCTAGGATGTACATTACTATTTATACATCTTTGTCAAACTTTGAAGGACTTAGGCATACTAGGCAGTTACTGCATGATTTGACTGATGTGGCATATTAATACGAAGATTAGGATATAAGATCTAGAAATCTAGTTCACAATTTCACTTCAGTTAGTTTCAGGGTACATTCCTAATCAGCAAAAGTTGGGATCCATTTTTTTTAAACCAGGAATCACAGCATAAATGAACTTGTAAGGACTATTTCACTGCATTATTCATACTCATTATCCTTAAAAACGTTTTAAAGCGATATTTAGAATTAATTCTATAAAGTTGGAACCTATTGGAACAATTCTAATGACTTTAAATTGTAAATTTATCATGAATAGATCACGTTTACTTTCGATTTCCAAATGAAATGAAAATGGGAAGTGACAAGTGGATAATAAATTCAGAATGAATCCGGATTCATCTACGGATTGGTTCGTGTTTAAAAAAGGCAGGAAATTATCATTTTTTAAATTAAATTTGCTAAATAAGAACTATGTTTGTCTCTCTCGTTTAGTTTGATACTTAATTATTTCGTATTTTACATTGTAGGTGTCTTTAATATCATAAGAATACTTTCGTGCATGCGCAGTTCATCGTAAAGGAAGCACCTGTTTGACTCGTGAAAACATTTCTGAATGTTATTAATAAAGTTCTATCTTTTTAATCGAAATTGACGAAAGTTTTTGATTAAAAGTTATATCAAATATGACGAAAATACGTTCATTTGACGAAACTACGACACGCGAACTGCAAATTGTGATCGTTTGAGAAATATTGAAATTAAAATGCGAACTGTCTGAGGGAAAACTCAAATGACGAAACCACAACAAACGAACTGCAAAATGTGCTCGTTTGATAAATATTGAAATTGAAATGCCGACTGACTGATTTTAACGGGGGAAATAATTATGATGATCAATTATGAGGTTGATAAACAATTAACGGATTAGTGAACCATCCGATGGCGATAACGGATTATCTGTGATCACAACTTATAACACCTGTTGTAAATGTTAATTAGCTGAGGGTCATAAACTTGTCAGAAACAATGGGCTATTCCAGAAATATTCTGTCCCCCCCCTATGGAAGACATAAGATGTAAAAAAAAAAATCCATGGAAATATTTTTCACTATTACAAAATTTTCTGGAATTCCAGATTTTAAACGCATAATAAAACTTAAATATACTGGAATTTTTTTCATGATGCTGTCAATTTGTCTGGAAATTTTAGTGTAAAGATTAGAAGCAATACCTATGGAAGACATCGATTTTATTTCTTTTGTCTGGAATTTATCTGGTTTTTTTTCTAAATGTGCCAAAAAAACTGGAATTTTATACTTAGTAAGTAACATATATGCAGCCGTATAAACCAAAAGAAGTGTGTTTAAAAGTTAAGCGCAAACAAATCCCTGACTAGAAGAACTGTTAGCCAATATGTTTACCAGTGTATATAAAGTCTTGTCATTGCAGACAAATACACCACTATCCCAGGGGAATTTGGATCCAGCACATACGTTTTTTAACCTCACTGCATATATTTTCTATATATATATATATATATATCTGTCCCAAGTCAGAAGCCTGTAATTTAAGTGGTTGTCGCTTATTACTGTATTTCATATTTGTTTTTCATTTATTGTTTTGTATATCAATTTGGCCATTAGTTTTTCTCGTCTGTATTGTTTCACACTGGTCATTTTCAGGCCCATTCTAGCTTACTATGCTGTGTGAGCCTAGGCTCCATGTTGAAGGCTGTACTTATAGGTTTCATATAACACACTGCCTGTAACCGAGTACGGCAGAAAGTGATTTTCCCCCGATTATAGTACTGATTTTCCTCGATTTTGTACTGATTTTTCATGATAAATTTTACACTATAGTTCTGTTATTCAATTTAAGTAGCTTGAACTAATCAATTGGTTAAAGATCATTTATTCTGTCTGGTCAGCAGTCATTAGTAAGTGATATCCTGAGGTGGGATTGCTTTGAAGTTACATCATGACCTTCCTTATTCTTTGTTTTGATGCTGTTGTAGCTGATTTGAGTAAAAAAAAATCTGTTTTAATCTGCTTTTAGAAAACTGGGAATATAAATTAGATTTTTTTTCATGAAATTTTGTTCAAATATAATAATCTGAAAAATGCAAGTAGAAATTTGGACAAAATAAGCATTTAAATGGGAAAAAAACTAGCAATTAAACTTGAGCTTTGGTGTACAGATTGTCCCCGATCAGCTTGTGTTGATTACAGATTTTCCCTGATACCTATACAGATTGTCCCCGATTTTGAAAAAGCTAATCCTTCAAAAATAAAGCTAATATGTGGATCTTCATATACACTTAGGCATGTGTATAAATTAAAATAGTGGAATATATGAATAATTTTCCTGCAAACCTGTAATTCTACAATTTTATATATAAAATTGAATTAGAGATTTTTTTGTTCATTGATATTTCATTGGTTGGTTCAGAAACTTTAAACAGGTTTCTTCTTGCTTGGGGTTCATAACTTACTGTTTGTATATTTCTGGATTCATAGTTTGGCGAATTTGATAAATTGTCTGAAATGGTTAGAGATTGTGATGATTTGCCTTTTTTGATAATCTTTTGTGGTGTATTTGTTGATAAGTTACAAATTATAATTTTTTCATCTTGTATTTTAATAAAAGTTTTTCCTTTTCTGTCAAGAAGTT